CTGAGAATTGGCTCTTATGCCAAATCATGGATACGATACATTACAAAAACAACAAATCGCAATAGTTTTCGGTATGAGTGGTTCATGAAGCATAATTATACATCAGTTTGACTTTATTTGTTATTAGTCATCAGATTGCAAAGTTGGATTCGGTTAGTCTTATGATAGTAGATAAAAAAATTAATTAGTTTATAGTCCAGTCATTTAAGCTTAAATAAGGTAATATCTCGGAATTCGAGGACCCAGCTGTAAGTCTGTAAATACTTGTATATTGACATCCTAAAAGTTGTCTCAAAACCTATATATGGTAGGTGTGTACGTACATATGTAGGTTTTGAGACAACTTACATCCTATCATATGTAGGTTTTGAGACAACTTTTAAATGTCAATATACAAGTATTTACAGACTTACACCCGTGTATCTCAAATTCCGAGGTGAACTTACTATAATGTCTGGACTATTAGTGCATAAATCCAAAATACTTCAAAGCTATTTACAAAACAACATATATCAATTATCATTTACTACTGACCTTCTATGTCCCCAGAAGGATCCACCAGTGTCTGCTGGTTCGAGCATACGCGGCGTCGAGCTTCCGAACGCGAAGACGATATTGCTGCGGTCGTTCCTGCGCTTCGTTTCCATCCTGGCTTCGCGCGTTCCTGGTTCTTGCGCAGAATCGCCTCGCGTCGGTCGCGCTCTGCTTCCCAGATCGCCTTCTTGCGTTCTTCGACCTAGAATTAGGATGGACACATTGGAAAATGAGATAGGTAAATATTACAATGTACAAGAAAAAATTAGAACAGGCAGTGTATGGAAAATACAGATCTATGGTCTGCCAATAAACCATGAGTTTGTGGTTAATCCTTTATGGGCCGAATTTTTGTTTTAAATCCAAAGAATTAGGTAAACACAAAATCAGTAAATATAAGCCTGTATATGCAAATAAAATACAAAAAATTAGTTTTACCAACTTTATTGGTATTAATGAATTATGTGACTTTCAAGTCACAGCGGCCTATGATGTTCGCACTTCTGAGTATGAAAATGTTATTACAGGTTGAAAAGTCTACTAAAGGCCATGAATATTGATATTTGTTATCTTCGCAACGTTATAGAATTAAGATTTATAAATCACGAAAAAGGCCATGTTTTATTTGGTGAAATACTAAAATTTTGAATGTGACCTGCATGTCACTTGAAAGTTACGAAAGCCCATAGAACCCATTCTTGAAAATAATACGAAAAACTGCTGAAATTCTGTATATGCAAAATGCTAATAATAAAATATTCTCATAATAAAGAGTAATTTTCTGTTAAAATCAGTTTTTTTACTATATCGATCATAGGATCATGTGTTCTTTGAGCTATGATTAGCTGACTGACATTTATAATTTAATATTTTTTATGAGAAAGCAACTAACGCTACAATGGTTATTAGTATTATCAAATTACTTATTCGATATATTTAATAATGATTTTTGGTTGAAAAGCCTAGCAAAGGTCATGAATATTAATATTGGTTTTCCCGACAATGTTATAGAATTAGAATTTATAAATAAAAAAAAACATTATTGTTTGGTGAATTGCCGAAAAAATTGGAATGTGACCTGAAAGTTACGAGAGCCCATAAAAGGTTATGATTGGAAAAAAATTAAATATCTGCTGAAATTCTGTATATGCAAAATCATTCAAAATGTCGATACGTTATGATTTCTCATAATAAAGGACAACTTTCTGTTAAAATCAGTTTTTTTTACTATATCGATCAGAAGAGTATGGGTTCATTGAGCTGTGTTTACATTTATAATTTGTTTGATAGAATTTATAATTTCTATGATAGAGCAACCCCGTAGTTAACCACATTTCTTCAAATATCTATTTACTATATATGTATTAAATATGAGTATCTAATAGTAATAATTTGTCTGTTATGCAGCAATTACCACGAAAGGCGGCTTTCACATAGTTATCGTTAAGATCTATAGCCTCAAAGAAAAATTTAATGCTTGATATCGAGCTTGGCCAAAATGAATGTGATGCCGAAATCGAACTCAATTAAAATCACAAATAGTAATAAATATTTACAATGTAAATTAGACATTCTGCAATGTTGCAAGAAAATGGATCAATTGACCGAAATCTCATGTGACACATGGCACTTAAAAAGATTAATTTTGTGTTGTTATGATTATGTTTTTTTAATGAGAAAAACACGTTTAAGTTGTTTATCAATTAAAAAGCAAAAAGAATAATATCAATCCGTATTTAAGCTTTAAATAACATTATAGTACGGTTCATGAAAAAAAAAATCTTTCCAACTATAGAAGGATATCATTTATAAATATAGGAAGAATATCATTTATTAAAATAATAGTTCTCTATTTGCGAACTATCAATCATTTATATTGACTACATAATCGTTAGCATTTCCCAGACGTAATGGAGTTTCGCAGTAATCTAAATGCAGATCTTACAAGATCTGCTATGTATGATCTGTTATGGTTAGCTCCCATGTGCTCAAATCCTTTGACACTTTGTCATATCTAGTTCACATCGCACTCAAGTGATTTGCGACATGTTCAATTTATATCAATATCTTGCATCTTTATTCTGGAACGCAGAAGGCTGTTTCAAAGCGATAAACACAATTTGTCGTTACGTTAAAAGCTTTTATGATAACATAATAAGAGCAAAAATACACCAGGAAGTGTATTTTAATGCAATTAATATTGTTTGACGTGATTATTTGGAATTTTGTTTGATGCGTGGAAAATGCCATACACGGAGATAGGGAAATAAAGATGCAGACATAGACGTTTTCTCAATATTTTTTGAAGTAAAACTTCTTTAGGCGCAACGAGGGGTAAACTCAGCCAAAAAAACCATCATTAGACGGAAGTGCGTTACGTAAAAAATACTGATTGGTCATTGGCCATCGAAGTGGTCATTCTAAACGAGTTGATATGATTGATCGAGATCGCCTCGTCACGTGATATCTTTCATTCTATACTTCAAATATCAAACAACCAATGTCAAGGTTATGTCGAAATCTAGATTTAATGAAAATCAAAACCATAATACATCGTCGTCATAAATAATATTAATAAGAAAACAAATTTAACATCTAAAAATGTCGTGCTGTTTAAGAAACGTAAGCTTTAATTTTTTTATCCATAGTTGCTATATATCTTCAAGGTAATTAAAATCCAAAATAATTTTATAGGCAAGACAGATTAGTAGTAGACCTCAGCAGTATTTATTGCTACAGATATGTATATAGGTTGCCATTCAGCTGATCAAGAAAAATATGTATGTCAGCAATTCCATAAAAATTAAGTTATTGATACAGGAGGGTTGTTATAACAACTGATTCTGATGTAAGTGATGATTTAGTTCACGCTGTTTTGGAAAGTTAGTAGAGTGGCAATAACGATGAATAACTAGTGGGGCGCATGGCATCGTGCCTTAGGGCAAATTGCTGGACTTCCCGTACCAAAAATTATTAGTTTTTTAAAAACGATTAACATCGTTGAAAAAAATTTACTTCGAAAAAATTAGATTTTTGAGAAACTATAAATTTGACAAAAAATTACTTTTTTTTGAAAAAAAAAATGTTTTCATTATTTTGACATATTTTGGAAATTTTGAACTTTTTTTCAAAGCAATCGTACTGCTTTAACTGCATAGAGACAAAATATCGAAGCGTAAACATTGGTACGAAACCCATAGGAATGTAAAAAAAATTATACTCATTATTAAAATCTCTATAAAATATCTGATAATTTGATGTGCATATGTCTAATGATCATTTTTGACCGCCAAATGGCATTTTTTTTACTTTTTTACAAGATATCCAAAAGCGCTAGACCTGGCTTCATGAAAATTTGATCAGTTCTTCATCTTGTTAATACAAGTAACATGTTGTTTGAATTACTCAAATCGGACGCTCCGTTCTCTTAAAAACTGGGTTACCGTTTTTGGCATTTTTTGCCCCATATCTTCGGAACGGCTAGACCTGCCTGCGCCAAAAACTAATCAGCAGGTCTACTTATCAATACGAATCGAATGTTTTTTGAATTATTCAAATCGCTTTATCCGTGTTCCCGAAATCGTCGACGAAAATTTGTATCCGCACACATACACACATACACACACACATACATCAATTTTTTTAAGGTATGCCAAAATGTTCAGAAGGTTTTGAAACGTAAAGATAAATAAAAATTTTCATTTTCGATTTTTTTGCGATTACTGTAACTTGCCCTACGGGAAGTTAAAAATAAAACCATATGTAACACTTTGTTGACCGATCACGAGTTTTTTTATGGCCGAACACTGCTGACCGAAACTAACGGTTATGTACCATTACATGTAGATGATTGTTTTAGAGCTTTTCATACGAAAAAAATGTCAAAAGTTGAATAAAAAATAAAATTTATTATTTCATTGTTTTACTTCCATATTCTATTGCGAAATTAATATATAAAACCCAAGAAGAATGGTTTTGTTCTTCAGTATCAGCTCGAACACATCACTATTATTGATGGAGCTTTCTTAAGAAATTTAGACAATTTCCTGACTGAACGTATGTATCTCGCTTTAGATATCTCTGGTAGTAAGCGAAACGATATTTTAAATTCTTATTCTTTTTTTACTTAATTGTCATCTTGTGCAATAGCAAATAAAGTCTAAACTTTTTATATTCATATAATATATATAAGTTGCTGCTATATAAATCAATTATTAAACCAATCTGGACCTGAGGAATTGAGCTCTGGGGATGCGCTTACAAATCTAATATAGCTATAATGCAGAGAACTCAGTCAAAAATTTTACGTGCAATTCTTAATTCTCCGTGGTACGTGACAAATGAAACCATTCACAGGGACCTCAATATGAAAACGGTGCAATTAACGTTCAAAGAATTCAAGGAAAAATACATGCGCAAACTGGACTCACATTCGAACCCTTCTATAGTTGACATTACTCAACCTTTTGGAATGAGGAGATTGAAACGACAATGGCCTTTCTAATATAAAATCATATAATTCTGAGAAGTTCTCATTGGAGTTCTTCTTAGACATCGCTCTTAAAATATTGTCATTTTAGCTTATAAGAATGTTTATGTATTTCTGATTGCTAAATAAAAGTGAGTAATAAAAAAATATATATATAATATATTCTCACCTGAGAGCGCCTGTCATTATCCCTCAGCCGCATCTCCTCGATCCGTTTCCTCCTCTCTTCCTCTTTCTGTTCCCTGAACCTCTGCGCGGCCAACGCTTGGGCCCTCAGCTCCTCGAGCCGACGCTGGCGTTCTTCCTGCTGCCTGTCGCGAACGTGCCGCAGTCGCTCGTCCGTCGCGGGACGGTCGCGAGACCCGGCCGCCGAAGCACCACCTGAATCGGATTGGAAATAGTTAGATGGATAGAAAAAAATTCATATATGTCAAATGAAGCGAGTGTACTAATATGTAGTAGATAAATTGGATACAAAATGTTGAAAAAATACGGGGAAGATTTTGTCGTAAGATAGACCGATGTTATGTTAATGCTATGTTATGTAGCAGTTTTCATACAAAATGGTACTAAATACTGTCAAATGCTATGTGATTGTTGTGCAGTCAGGCGTTTTAGACAGAAAACCTGGCCTAGAAAACGTATTAATGTCAAAAAAAAACTATGTTATCATAACTAGATCTTTGAAACATGGCTTGATAACATATGAGTGAAGTTGCATTTTATGTGTCAAATGCCTTATGTACAGCAAATACAAGGCATTTTGTCAGTATTTAGTACCATTTTGTATGAAAACTGAAACGTAGCATACCCTTGCCATAACATTGGTCTTTTTTACGACAGATAAGGTCCATAAGTAAGTAACACAATGCTAGGAAGTTATTGTCAATTTATATACAAGAACAACATATATGTCTTATGATTCCTAAATGTAATTATTTTCATAGATTGCAGAATAAAAATAAAAAAAAATAAAAAAAATATCTTATGATTTACCATATTTGCTTTTCACATTATGTAGTTTAAGTGTAATTTATTATGATTTACAGAATTGAATAAATCAATGCGCTTTTGCCAGATTTAATTGAAAAAAGAAGAAATGTATGTGGGTGTGCTAGAATTTTTTTGTAACAGAGTAAGTAGTAACAAGTGTTTTTTAATAGGATCTTAAACGATATTAAAGCATGTTTTGTCTCGATTGGACATGTAAACCGAACTGCATAATATTGTCATAGTTACTGTCCCGCAGGCCGATGCAGTAAACAGAACTGTGCAGGTGCGTCATTTCTGACAGGTGACATAAAATTGAACTATCATTTATATCATTTACAATTTCGGTTAGCGTTATTATTATCGACTAATTTTGAATTTTATATATCTTCTTTCGTTTAAAATTTATCAAACTTTAATAATGTGTAATAATTTTTGTGATTGTTATATTATTTAAGTTATCTTAATTAATGTAAAAAAATCACACCTGGGGTTTGTTGAAACAAAACCTTGTGGCTAGTCGTAATTTACAAAAATTATATACAGATTCAAGTGAAGAAGATTGAATGAATTATATAGTTTGTAGGATGTGGGCACATGTAAATTCTGTTACAAGAGATACTATAGATTTTATTTGTATTATTATAATAATTATAGTTTACGTTGATTTATGATAAAAAATTATATTATAGGTGACATTTTATATTTTATTTGTATTAATTATAGTTTACGTTGATTTATAAAAAGAATTACAAGCAAATCTTTTTTTTAAATAAGTAAATAAGAAATTATCTGAGGTATTGTTGTTCTATTTTGTCGATAATACTTGCCCCGGTAGATGTTACAACTAGCCCTAAACACGGGGTAAATTTTAATACCGGATTTTTTCTAGAAAATAATTTATTGTAAAATAATGAACAATAGTTATGAAATTATTTTCACTTTTATTTGTTAGAGGAATAGATAAAACATCTATTTACCTCTATTTCATAGAAATATAATCAGAGGATTTCTAGATATATTATTTAAAAAGAACTGTTACCAAGCCCCTAGCACCGCCACATAACTTACTTTCATATGATTATTATTGAAAAGCTATGAATCTCTAACATAAATTTAGAAACTTAAAAAAATCGTAACAAGAAAATAAACTTTCTGGTAATGTTTTATCTAAATTATTTTTATATGAAATATTTCTGTGTTAATTGCATCAGTACAAAGGCTTCAGTTCGTTCGAATACAAATATACTATATAAAATATCTAAAAATTCACAATAATAATACACACACATACTATAAATATATTAATTGTCAGAGTATTAATGGCAAATAGTTCAGCTCAAGTAATGAGACTTCTTTCTATATATGGTAAAATAAAAATGAATTTAGTTATTAAATGCGAGCAAAAATATCTGCCAATTACAAAATAAATCTGATCATTATAATGTAAAATATAATAAATTAAACTGACGAGCCAATTCTCGAATAAAAAAAAAATATGGTGACACTATGATACAGGTCTATGATCGTATGAGTTGGTAGTCACAAGCTGCAAAAAAGCTATGAATTTGTTGTGCCATCAGGCGTTTTGCACATATGTGACATTTGTGTCTTTTGGAGGTTAGGTTTTATGTGAAAAACACCTGATCGCACAGCAAATACATAGCTTTTTGACCCGCAACATAGCAATACCCTAACATTTCTAATTTATCCGAAAATTGGCCCCTAAATATATAATCAAGATATCTACTTATTGAAAATAAAATAAAAATAAGAAAAAGAAAAGTTTGAAGGCAAAAAACGCCCAAAATCATAGTGACATGCAGAAAAAAAGTCAGACTTATTGTAGAATATGAAATTGATTATGAAGTTCAATACTTGGTATGTTAAGTTAAATATTAGATCATGAATAAATACAATCAACATTAGAATTAAATAGTTAATATTTTCACAACTGGGAATTGAAATCAGATCTAAATGTTCTAAATCGGTACAAAAATCACAAGTATGTAAGATTATGGAAAAAATACACAATATAACTACTATCTAAAATACAAAAGTCGAATTTCGAAAGTTCAAATTTCCGAACCTGGGTCGTTGTTTTCGGCATCGAAGTTCGTTGAACGTCTAACATCTGTGTTGTGGAGCCGCACACGAATAGAACAGAAAATACATCTTATCAGAATAAAATAGATAACATTTATAATATAAATAATATAAATTAAAACAAATAAAACAGTTCATAAATTCAAACGACACAAACACAAAGCAGAGCGAGACAAAATGCTGCAAGAGAATGCTGTTAGTTAATCAAAAATTCCTGTAAATCAATCAATATTATTATTCAGGCTGGGTTAATATAATAAAATATTTTCATCGATTAAATATCATTCTATAATACAATAATATACAATGGCAAATCGGAATGCATAATTAGTAAATGTATGCTAAATAAAAAGATCAAGGATTTTATAAAACGTCCTTACTAACGACAATATTTTTTTCTTTCACTTCAAACAGATGTGAAAATATCTGAAATAAAACAGAAATTCCACTTTTGGTTTTGATGTATTTTTATAATATAAATGCATTTTTTTCTTCAAATCAGAGATATCAATTTTAATATGCGTAAAAAAATTTTTAACACGTTAGTCGCCATATCAGTCATATGCGTCAGTCGATAAGAAACCGGTAAAAAATATTGTAACAAAATTAAAAATAAAATGTATATAAATGCATAGCATACATATTACCAATAGTCAAGTAAAAATGTAAATTAAAGTTATTTTAAATGGCTATGTATCAAATATGAAATTTGCGTTAGTTTCTATAATAAATTACCAAAAATATACTATGTTAATTTCGAACATGTCACTTGAAAATAATATACGATGAGATTTTTCAAATCACACACATTAGCAATAAGGATTTGGTAAGGAACACACACGGCAGAACGGCACGCGATTCCACCATAAGTCATAATCAATATAAGACAGCATTCTTACGTTTCACAGAACAATTTAATATAGTACTTTAATATTAGAATTTCTAAGTTTTATTAGGTTGGCAACTGAGTAAATGCGATTTTACTCTCAGACGGTTTCAATTTTAAGGTTTGCTGACGTAGTCCAAATGTAAAATACCCTGAGTTGTTAATCAGTAAAAGAAGAGTTTTTTTTTGCGATTGCGTAGTTTTCGTTTGGCGTTGAAAGATGAAAAATCAAATCGAAAATTTTTGTTATATTTTGCTTCTTTATTTTTGCGAAGGTAAAACGGCATCTAAAGTTCACAAATTTTTTTTAGCTGTTTATGGTGATAAAGCCTTAAAAAACGGCAGTATCAAAATTGGTTTGCTAGTACTCATTCTGGTGATTTTTTACTCAAAGATAAAAAATGCTCTGGTCGTCTAGATGATATCACTCTTACCACCGATCAATTCTGATGTTTACATTGAGCAACTAACGAAATTAAATAACGCAGTTGAAGGCAAACTGCCTAAATTGACAAATCGAAATGGCGATTTATTTCATTATTGACATCACATATCTTTGGCCACTCGGCAAAAAAAAACTGAAGCTTGTTTGGGATATTTTGCCACATCCACCATCATCTTAACCATGCACCTTCTGATTACTATTTGTTTCGATCTATACAAAATTCCTTGAATGATAAACAATTTAATGATTATGATGATGTCAAATTGAACCTGATTCAGTTTTTTGCTAATAAAAACCATAAGTTTTATGATAATGATGCTGCATAAAAGATAGCAAAAAATGACTTTGATTCTAGCAAAAATCCGCACTTACTTAGATGCCAACCCGATAGTTCAATACACAATTTAGCAAGGCTTTTGACAAGGATTAAAATGATATCAATTGAATACGTTTACAATATGACTTAACATTATAATTGGGTCAATTGCAACAAGCTCGTTTTCACATTCCTTAAATCTAAGTTAATTCTAAACAATCCAATAACCGTATTTACTAAACATGAGGAAACTACCGAGTTAAGCATAACTTTTCATTATAAGCTTAATAACAATGATATTTTGCGAAAATAAATTAAAAAATGATCAAGGATTTCAATAGGAGACCGTAATATTGTGGAACCTATTATATAATAAATAATTCAAAATACCTTCGTGGAATTCATTCTTGTACGTACATAGTTTAATAATAGTTACAAGAATCAGGAAAACATTTGCTTAGTGTACATACTTGAAACTATATTTCAATTAACTTTTGCCGAGTTTTAGTGCGCGATAATCAATCAGACGTGCATACCAAATTTTAATTAAAATAGAAATATTTGTGATTTTATCATAATATGCACTATGTAATTTATAATTTCAATACTTTTGAAATTAGGGTCGACCATATTATAAA